GTATTGCTAAGGACTTCATTTGGACAACTTTAAAGGCGATTTTCTCAATATTTTTTTTTTTGCACCCTCAGATTCCACATTTTCAAATAGTTGTATCTCGGCCATATATTGTCCTATCCTAACAAACCATACATCAATGGAAAGTTTATTTATTCAGCTTTCAGATGTTGTATAAATCTCAATTTAAAAAAATTGATCCTTATGACTGGTTTTGTGGTCCAGGGTCACATATGTTAGAATAAAAAAAGGTTGTTCTTACATGTAGTGGAGCTGATAATTGTAACAGGGGATGTATTGCCGTTTCCATTCATGGCTGTAATCTGAATTGAATAAATAAATACTGAGAAACACAAATCAAAACACTATAATGCCACTCAGGTTACTAAAAATAAATAAATACCTCAATATTATATTCCGTGTGGTAGTAAAGATTTTCAAATGAAAATGAACAGTCCTTATTAGTTAGATTTTTTTCAATTGTGCCTTTGTTTATGAGATTGGCTGTATAGTTTCCCTTCTTTCCATTCCAATCATTTGCACTCAAGTTCTTGCAGTTCACATAAAAAGAATTGTGAGATGTTTCCCATACCGTTACATCTGACTTCACAAATTTGGGCTCTATTGAAACAGAACAAGAATAATACAATTCACATGTGAATTGATACTGATAATTTCATAAGAACTTTTTGTTTTACTATTGGAGCATGATCTCATTGACATTTCTGTTGTTAAAAATTGGCCATTACTTGTACTTTCAGGAAATTCAGTTATTTGTTTGACTAAATAAAAGATAAAACTAAAAGCAGTCACAGAACTACAAAATAAACAATAATTTAATTAATCAGTGAAATATGCAGCATTAATAGTAAAAGTATGATTAATTTTCCAAAATTATAATATTTATTTAATTTTGGTCCAAAATGGGAATCATTGTTAATGAAGACAAACAGAAAGAAGGCAACTTTCACATAAGAGACAGGCTTTTTTTTTTTTGGACATCACACATTCCAATATAGTCAACATTATGTAGGTCATAAATGTACATATAAATTGTTACATTTCTTTACATACAAAGAACAGAAATTAAAATTATGCAAACAAACATTTAAAAGCATGACACTTACTGTGAGAAGGTGTTTTTATGGGATATGAAATGGTATAAATTAGGTAGTTGTATTTGGCTGTAATAACACATGTATAGCTGGTAAATGCAAGTACTTCAAATGTGCAACTTCCCTTTCCAGTTGAGTCTCTCCTGGAACAATCTTTGACTGAAAAGATGAAATGGTAAACGTACACTGTTAAATTTATCATCGAACGGCATGACTATTTATATGGACAGATAATCAGATATTTACACACATACACACACAAATATAAACATACACGTTTATGTATGTATGTATGTATGCACAGAACACACACACACACACACACACACACACACACACACACACACAGACAGATGAATCATACAAGACCAGTAACATGCATAGTAGAAAATAAATGTTTTTTTTTTATTTCATGCTGTGCTTAATACATACATTGTTCTACAGACAAAATAGCAGCATACACATAAATAAAGATTGACTTTTTAGTGTGTGTGACTGTTTCTTTAACTTGATTAATGCAAACAGCTGATCATTTCATAGCCAATTTCAGTGATATTTGAAATTTGGCAGTCCTAGAGGAAATACTGAGCTTTTACCTTTAACACTTGGAGCTTCAGAACTGTCACAAATGCCTGAAAATGTAAATTCGATAATTGAACATTTGTTCTTTGAGGATAGAGTCCATAAAATCTCAGCTGAGTTGTAGGCTAATACAGATAACTCAGTTGTATTATCAAAATCTGTAAATGTTAAAACAGAAGTCAGGAATAAGGCAACACATAAAGCATGAGACAGTAACATATGTAGCTTGATGTTTCTTCAACTAAGGGCACTTTATGTTCCAAACTTGTATTAAAACCAACAGATTTGTCTTTGTTTTATAAATGCCCTCAACATTTTTTGCGACCTTTTTGCTCATTTATTTTCAAAAGTTGTATGCATAGATTTATACATAGATTTTGTTTTAAATTTGTCTAGACCTATATTTTTCACTAGCTATGCATGAAGAAAAAGGTAAATGTCACATGCGAAGAATACAATTTTTTTATGCGCCATTTCCAGGCAAGCTGCAATTTCAGCAAATTATGCCAAAAGTATGAAAAAAATGTTATTGCATACAATAATGATAGCTTGAAATTAGTCAGCCACCATAATTTTCATCACAGAATGATATTACACAGATTACATGATTTAAAATGTACTAGAAATGAGACTGTGGTGAGAATGATCATGACTTGCAGAAGAAAGACAATTCTACTGTTATATATGTATATTTGCTGTTGGACATTGTTAATACACAAATGAAATTAACCAACAACTGAATGCTTTAAGAGTTAATTTATATAAATGTCTACAGGGCTCACATAAAAAAAACAGCTGGAGTATAATCTACATTTACAAGCCAGGGCATTATTGTTATTTGCAGGTGTGAGGAAACATATAAGTCAACAACTCACCGCAGTTGACGTTAATTAGTCTGTGATTGCTTTGAACGACTGTATTGTTCAATTCATATTTTCCAGTGCAGTTGTACATTTCAGAAGGCACCAAAAACACATCCTTTTTCAAGTTATGTTGCTCGGATTTGCCTGCTAAAGGCAACATGAATATGAAAAATATGATTAAAACAAAACTTTATTCATTTGCATAAAAAATGTAACACACATTGCAATTACTTACCATTACCAGAGCAGTGGACCTTAAAATTGTTTCCCTGACAGTTTCTTGGTTTATTATGCCACTCAAACTGAGTGGGGATAGTTTCAGTGAAGTTTATTTCAGGTTTGACTGGGGGAAAAAACATTCTGTTAATTAAAATGTGATTTGTTCCCCCCCGCATATTAACTGGAATAAATTGTTGCTAATTATGTTTTTTTATTTATATATTAAATGTATTTTTCCCAATGGTAGACAAAAAGGAGTTATTGTCATGTAAATGCATAATATAAATATGCAAATAAATATATTTAATTGCATATACACTCTTAAAAATAAAGGTGCTTTTTTGTCTAAATGGTTCCATAAAAACCTTTAACATCTGAAAAACCTTTGTTTCACAAAAGGTTCTTTGTGGCGAAAGATGGTTCTTCAGATTATAAAAAGGTAAGAAAGAGATGGTTCTTTAAAAAACCTTTGACTGAATGGTTCTTTGTGGAACCAAAAATGGTTCTTCTATGTGAGGAACCTTTTAAGCACCTTTATTTTTAAGACATTAGACTGTTTAATTGATCAAATACTTACCTGGGGGCATGTCAACATTCATTGTATAGTTGCATTTGTCTAGTTCAATGCCAATGGCCTTCTGAACACAGGAGGTGTTATCTGTTATATCAACACATTTTGACAGATTCCATTTGCTATCTTTAAAACACACTTTCTTTTCCCCCTCAAGTTCTGCAGAATGGCTTGTACTTTTACTGACTAAAGAGAAATAAAGAATTTACAAAGAATCAGAGACATTACTTTCCATTTTTAAAAACATTAAAGCAAATGAGTAGCAATTCAATTGAATAAAACACAAATTCATAGCACAACATCATAAAATACACTAAGAAATTAATATGGCCAAACATTTACACTGTCCACCTTCACCTTATTTTCATCATGTTCTTAATCAGGTTTACATTCATTTATTGAAACCTATGTTATGAATGCAAATCAAGACATCAATTCTGCCTATGTTGTCTGGAGAGAAGTACATAAACAAATCAACAACTAAAGTTCTGTCAAAAGAACGTCCAGGTTACATATGTAACCCTCATTCCATGATGGAGGCAAAGGAGGCATTACAAGTGAGCCCCCATATGTCAGTATTGATGTAATGTCAAACATGACTGACAGAAAGGGAGCTTCACATTCACATATGCCAAAATAGCGTTATACTGTAAATAGAAGTTAAGAAACACTTACCATTGAAATGAATAAGGTTTTCTGTAAGCTGACATTCATCAACTGTGACAGTGTAATCAGTACATGGTTTTAAGCTTTTAAACGGTATTTTGAATGGAGAAGGTCCTTTTTCCTCAAACAAAGTGTTGTTCTGATTGTTCATCAACCTGAGTCTGTACGTTGTGTAACTGGAGCCATTGATAATCTTCACAATGACTTCTGCTTCATTCTCACTGTCTGTAAGGATGTACTGACCTGTATGTAAGTGCATATGAACATTCACAAATTCACAGGAATCATCAACATGTCCTCAACAACACAATCAAAGTTGAATTCACACAATGTGCGCAAAACCAATACTCACATTTTGTGGGACCTGAGGAAAGCACATAATCACAAGTTAATCATCACAATAAACAGTAATTATTTGTACAGAGAGCAAAAATGCTGTGATTTTACCCATGGTGGTGTTGTTTAATGTGGTGGTGAATGTGGGTGAGGGTGAGGTTGAGCTGGAGTGCATGGAGTTGGGAGATCCAGTGCTTGGATGTGAGGTGGTGTCATTCCCTACATCTTGTTGAGGCAGTAGTTGACAATAAAAGAGTTAAAAAGAGCTGAACATGATATTAAAATACTGCAAACTAACGTGGCTTACTGCATTGCTTCATACAAACAAATGCATTAATATACAACAGTTCAAAATTAACTAACTAAAGAACTGTTACCTTTCACTGTTATTGATGGGGGTTGTGATGGAGTGTTTGTGGGTGAGAGGCCTGTAGCTTAGGGTAAAGCATATTTATTATTATTGTGTATTACTTTATGCAATTCTCAAACTAATCAATATTACACTGTTACCAGTGGTGGTGCTGGTGTTGTGTTGGTGTGAAGTGGTGCATGAGGTTGAGTTTGCTTCATGTGTGTTGCTCAGATTTTGACACCGAGAATCAAAAACCTTCCCTAAATGATAATGATTGTGTGAACAAAAATATTTACAAATGTACATTTATGTATAAAAAAAACTCCTTAAAATATAAATGAATAAATAAATAAATAAATAAAAATGTTGCTAAAGCATAAACATTTTATTATTTGTACAGAGAGCAAAAATGCTGTGATTTTACCCATGGTGGTGTTGTTTAATGTGGTGGTGAATGTGGGTGAGGGTGAGGTTGAGCTGGAGTGCATGGAGTTGGGAGATCCAGTGCTTGGATGTGAGGTGGTGTCATTCCCTACATCTTGTTGAGGCAGTAGTTGACAATAAAAGAGTTAAAAAGAGCTGAACATGATATTAAAATACTGCAAACTAACGTGGCTTACTGCATTGCTTCATACAAACAAATGCATTAATATACAACAGTTCAAAATTAACTAACTAAAGAACTGTTACCTTTCACTGTTATTGATGGGGGTTGTGATGGAGTGTTTGTGGGTGAGAGGCCTGTAGCTTAGGGTAAAGCATATTTATTATTATTGTGTATTACTTTATGCAATTCTCAAACTAATCAATATTACACTGTTACCAGTGGTGGTGCTGGTGTTGTGTTGGTGTGAAGTGGTGCATGAGGTTGAGTTTGCTTCATGTGTGTTGCTCAGATTTTGACACCGAGAATCAAAAACCTTCCCTAAATGATAATGATTGTGTGAACAAAAATATTTACAAATGTACATTTATGTATAAAAAAACTCCTTAAAATATAAATGAATAAATAAATAAATAAAAATGTTGCTAAAGCATAAACATTTTTCCGGATGCACTCCTGATGGTTCTCCAAACTATTATCTTAAAAATTGTACTGAGTAATTCAACTTTGTTTTGCCAGTTTCAATTTGTTTGTTCACTAAATGAAAATGTCTCATTCAGCCAGTAAATTAATTAAGGCAGCTATAGATTTGTTCAACAAATTTTCAGTTACATGACACTGTTTTTAACTAACAACTGACATTTACACAAGTCGACAATATCATTTTGGGGCCTGAAAATACAAACCTTTGAAAACTAATTAGTGAAAACAGTGATGTCATGTGTATTATCTGTTCAGTCTGCAAGCATGTGCACAGGTGCATAGTGTTTCTTTACCAAGTAGCATCGCCAACTACTGGCCTTGCATGAATAATACAGTGCCAGTAAATTAATTAAGGCAGCTATAGATTTGTTCAACAAATTTTCAGTTACATGACACTGTTTTTAACTAACAACTGACATTTACACAAGTCGACAATATCATTTTGGGGCCTGAAAATACAAACCTTTGAAAACTAATTAGTGAAAACAGTGATGTCGTGTATTATCTGTTCAGTCTGCAAGTATGTGCACAGGTGCATAGTGTTTCTTTACAAAGTAGCATCGCCAACTACTGGCCTTGCATGAATAATACAGTGTGTGAACAGGGATCGTTTTGACAACATTGTCGTCTGTACACAAAACTTTTCAAAGTATTGAATACTATTTCATTAGTATTGTTAAGTTTAAAATGTTAAATTCTTGCTCCAACTATGTTTGACTAGTTGGGACATCATTTGAGGGAATTATGTTGGTCTAACATTGGATTTATTTAGATTCACATTCCTATAATTTGTGACTCAAAAATGTCAATGTAAACTTTAAATGATGTAGTATTTTTTTTTCTTTTACAGTGCATATACTGCATAAGCTCAACAATAGTAATTTATGTACAGGACATAAGTTGAAGAAAAACAAACAAACTAAAAAATGAATAAAAAAAAGGGGGAAATATAATGATCAATATACTGTTACCTGCAGTGGTGCTGGTGTTTTGTTGTTGCAAGGTGGTGCGTGCGGGCGAGGTTGATGTGTTTGTCTGGTTATTAGGTTCAGTAAAATTTCCTAAATTATAATGGTTATTTGTTCAAATAAAATGTTTTTCTTATAAATACTTTTACACAATCCAATATGGGATATAAAGAAATTGGACATCATGTGACAACCCAACGTAGTACCAGATTTATATTATACTAAAATGTCCTTAAAATTGAAATGTATTATTAGCACAGACTGCATAAGCTTAAAGGAACACGCCACTATTTTTGAAAATAGGCTCATTTTCCAACTCCCCTAGAGTTAAACAGTTGAGTTTTACTGTTTTTGAATCCATTCAGCCGATCTAGGGTCTGACGGTAGCACTTTTAGTTGCAGCTTAGCATAGAACACTGAATCTCATTCTGGTGTAATAATCAAGGAACTTTGCTGCCGTACCATGGGTTAAGCAGGCGCAATGATATTACGCAGCGCCTGAAAACAGTCCCCAGCTAGGTAACATCTATGCTAAGCTACAGCTAAAAGTGCTACCGCCAGACCCGGAGATCGGCTGAATGGATTCAAAAACGGTAAAACTCAACTGTTTAACTCTAGGGGAGTTGGAAAATGAGCCTATTTTCAAAAATAGTGGAGTGTTCCTTTAACGCTGTATACATTGATTTAAATAACAATCAATTAAATAAAATTAAATAAAAGCTAATAAATTAAATTAAAGCTGACAAATTAGTATACACACACACACACACACACACACACACACACTGTTACCTGCAGTGGTGCTTGTGTTTTGTTGTTGCGAGGTGGTGTGTGGGAGTGAGACTGAAGTGTTTGTCTGGTTATTATCAGTAATACTCCCTAAATGATAATGATTATTAGATCAAACAAATTGTTTCTCTCATAAATACATGTATGTTGACACAGTCCAGTATGAGATATTAAGAGTTTTGTATTGTACACAATTGTCATTAATACTGATTATTATTACCATAAACTGCATATAATCAAAAAATGATTTAAATGATATACACTGATTAAATATGACAAATCGGTACATATACACAAAAAAACAAAAAACAAACATGTAATATAATGTTCAACACACTGTTACCTGCAGCAGTGCTTATGTTGTGTTGTTGCGAGGTGGGTGCGGGTGAGGATGTCAGGATTTTATCTTTAGTAAAAATGGTAATGGTTATTTGATCAAACAAAAATTTCATCTCATAAATATGTTGACACAGTCCAGTATGGGATTTAAGGAAGTTGCACATCACGTGGTGACCCAACATAGTGCCAGATTTTTGCAGTGTACAAAAATATCATTAAAACTGAAATTGATTATTATTACTATAAACTGCATAAGCTCAACTAAATGCTAATTTATTTACATAATATAGACTGAAAACTGATAAACTGGTAAATAATAATAAAATCAGCAGAAATACTGTATAATGTTAAATGCACTGTTACCTGCAGCGGTGTTGGTGTTTTGTTGTTGCAAGGTGGAGTGTGGGAGTGAGATTGATGTGTTTGTCTGGTTATTATCAGTAATTTTCCCTAAATGATAACATTTACAAAATCAAGTAAAATGTTTCAATCATAAATAGGTTGACACAGTCCAGTATGAGATGTATGAGAAGGATGGACATCACATAGTGCCAGATTTTTGTCTTGTACAAAAAATGTAGATACAAAATATTTATTATTATCAAACTCTGCATAAGCTCAATAATATGCTAAATTATTTACATTAGATAGACTGAAGAAAAACAGGTCAACTGGTAGATAATTAAAAAGAGAACATGAAATATAGTGTTAAATGCACTGTTACCTGCAGTGGTGCTGGTGTTTTGTTGTTGTGAGGTGGTGAGTGTGGGTGAGATTGATGTGTTTGTCTGGTCTGCAAATGTCCCTAAATGACAATGGTTATTAGATCAAATAAAACGTTTCTCTTATAGCCACTGGGGTCTTGACTGAAATCACATACGAAACAGAGGTGGTGCTTTAACATTAGCGATTAAAAAGCTCAAACAAACAAATGAATAAATAAAAGCTTCTTGTTCAGTTATGTGTGTGTGTAGCATGATAGGAAGATGGAGGTCAGAGTGTGAGAGAATAATAATGCAGGAGTGTGAGTTTGATGAGGTGACGTCAGATTTACCTTTAATGGTATCTGCAGGCGTGTTTGTTGTGTTGGAGAGAGTGGAGGAGTCTGAATGAGTGTCTGTAATGATGGATGAACACCGGGAAACAATATCTAAGCATATCAGGTTCTCACTGATATAGAACTGACTCATAAGTTCAAATCAGGAACAGAATAACAGAAATTGGGTGACACTTACTTGTACCAGCTCCACCTGTGGAAAGTGTGAGATAAAACTATTATTTAACTTTGTCAGAACAGATAGATAGATAGATAGATAGATAAAATGATATTAATTAACCTAATCAGAAACAAATCATGCAACTTTTAATTATTTGATTTAATTATTTCTAGGAATGAAGAAAGTAAACAGTTTTTGTGTCAAAGGGTGATTGCACTGAAATTACTGCATGACGTGCAGCTACTTACCCATTATATCTCATTATAACATCTCATTATAACATCTGTTAGCAGCATTATTTACATATAATTCATCTTCAACAGACTTTACAGAAAAAAAATCCAATTTATTATAAAAAATATAACACTGTCCATGACAACTAATCCATGACATATGACATCCATGAGATAGTGATGGGGAGGTTGCAATGCAGTATGAAGGGAGGATGGAGGTCAGAGGTCATGAGTTAGACTGACTGTGTGTCTGCTGTGGTGATGTGTGGTGTCATGGTTACCTGTAGGTAAGGCAGAAGTAGGTGAAGTGGGTTGCATGGAGGTGGGTGAGTCAGAAGAACCTATTTGACATGATCACATAGTTTAAACTAGATTCAAATACAGTCCTTATATGAATAAAGTTGGCACCAATTTTTCGCCAGATAAATAAACCAAACGCAGTACTAACCACAACAAGCTAATGAGTACAGAAATGAATACATTGTCTATTTTTTAAAATTGCAATTTCCTTAACTGGTCCAGTGTACAATAAAATTATGAAAAATAGGAAATTAAAAACTGAATACCTTTACTTTTTTTTTTTTTTTACCTTTTTCTTCTGGGTTTATGACTTGTTGAGAAGTGAGTGGGGGTGAGGGGCTCATGACTGAAGGAAAAAGCAGGTTCATTTTAGGTAGTCCAGTAAGGGATATTTGCTTGTTAAAAAACTACTGAGTTTGACCATCACCGTTTTCTTCTGGGTTTGGGTCTTGTTTAGAAGTGTGTGTGGGTGAGGGGTCTGTGACTGAAGGGGAAATCAAGTTTATTTTAGGTGGTCCAATACAGGATTTAACTACAAACTTATACGAAAGACCAAAGAAGCTTCTTCTAGCAAGTTGCTCAAATTAAATCTCTTGAATTAAGCCTATATCTTGCATGATAAAAGATAGAGGTATTGAAGCCAATCTCAAATTTATTAACTATTGTATTAGTATAGTACTCGTTTTATTTTGTTCTCAAAAAAAAAAAAACTTTTTAAAAACTTTTTTAAAACAATTAAATTATCTATCTAGCAGTTGCTGCAAAAAATGATATCAAAAGAGGACTATTACCTGTTTCACTTGATTTAGGGACTGCGGTAGAAGTGAGTGAGGGTGAGGGGCTTGTGGCTAAAAGGAAAAGCAAGTTCATTTGAGGTAGCCTAGTATAGGATTTACTACAATCTACAAACTTATACAAAGGATCAAAGAAGCTTCTTCTACCGAGTCGTGCACTTTAAAATTCACTGCCAACAATAAAAAGACATTCAATGACCTTTGATGCCAACAATAAAATATATGGGAAGTCAAAGTTGAAAAACTGATTAATATTTTATAGTTAATATTTGCATGTATAATTTTTTTTTTTAAATATGTTTATGTTTAATATGTTTCAATTATAATAATTACAATATAATAATACAAATATATTATTTTTTTAAATATATAAAACACATTTGTAAGTGTTGTGCTTGATGGTCGCCACTTCACATATTTAAAGTTAATATCTTTCATTTATTGATTTATTTTTTTGTAGAAATATTATAAACATTTGAAACAAATGTCTAAATCTAAGGACCCGCTACATGTTTTAAAATAGATTTTAATAAGATTTCTCCTTTTCATTGTCTCGTACATCCTTACTTGTCACTGACTGCTGCAAGATAGCATGTCAAAGAGAATGACTATTACCTGTTTCGCTTGATTTTGTGACTTGTGGAGCCATGTGTGCGGGTGAGGGGTCTGTGACTGAAGGGAAAATCAAGTTCATTTTAGGTGGTCCAGTACAGGATTTAACTACAAGCGCACTAAAACTACAAACTCATACAAAAGACCAAAGCAGATTCTTCTAGCAAGTCATACACTTTTAAAGCACAGGATCTGGGTTTCTTTTTGATGAACAAAAAACAGATGCTTAATATTAATTATATCACAGGATCTTAAATGTGAAGCCTGGTGTAGCCTAAAAAGTTCTTGTTGGGTCACTCGCTCTACCGCTCTCTCAAAAATAAATAAATAAATAATAGAAAACAAAACATACAAAATAAATGAATGAATAAAGAAATATCTAAATAAATAAACCACTTGATCAGTGAGATGTGCTCATATCACAGCATGATGGAAAGCTGGAGGTCAGAGTGTGAGAGATTGTGTGTGAAAGTATAATAATGCAGGAGTGTGAGTTTGATGTCAGCTTTACCTTCGGTGGTGTCTGCAGGTGTGTTTGATGCTTTGGGAAAAGTGGAGGAGTCTGACTGAGGGACTGTAATGATGGATTGACAGCATGAAACAATATCTAAGCATCAAGTTTTAACTTATATATACATTTTCTGACCCAAAAATACAGCCTTATATAAAAGAAAAAGTGTGACACAGACACACACACATACATAACCATTAGTGATACACAACTGACTGGAAGCATCACCATCATTTAAACATTTAAATCTAAGAACTTGCAACATGCAACATGTTTTTGAAAAGATTTCTCCTTTTCATCATCTCATACATCCTTATCACTATCCTATCCTTCACAAACTGCTGCAAGACTATAACCTGCTTCTGCTTTTTGTCTTCTTCAGTGTGTGAGGGTGAGGGGCCTGTGACTGAAGGGAAAAGCAAGTTCAGTTTAGCTGGTCCAGTATAAGATTTAACTACAAATACACCAAAACTACAAACTCATACAACAGACCAAAGTGTCTTCTAACAAGTCGTACATTTTCAACTCCTTTGATGAAGCCAATGTTTTACATGATAAAATTCACTACAACAGCACTGCAATTATTTCAGAAAATAATGCTTTGATGATATAGGGAATTTACAGAATATTTAAAATATATAGAATTAATTGAAATTTGTGCTCTAAAACTGGATGGTCCGAGGGAAAAAAATTGTGTAGAAACAATTTTCACTCAGAAATTGCTAGCAAATTTCACAAATAATTATAAAGACAAGTAGAGTAAGTTAAGGTCCTTGCACACAGTGTCTGAAATTTCCGTATGCGTCATCCTAAAAATTAGTCACGCACAAACACCTCTCAGAATGCTTGCTACAGAATATCGAAAAACACAGAAAATTTAACCCGATCCAATTTTTTTATGACGGATGAAAGTTTCAGAGGCAGTGTGTAAACGTGATTGACACAACGTGAGGTCGTATTTATTTTTTAACGTGCGTAAATTAAATAGTATTTTCTTGTAAAACCTATAAAATCCTTGTTTTATTTACTACTTTGCTTACTAAAAAAGAAAAAAAATACAGTGTAGCAATGGCAATATATTCAGTTATTTACCAATTCTAATTTGCTTAATACAAATTATTTAGCTAAAAAATAAATAAACGACTTCCCTGACAACTAAAAAGCTCTGTTTATTTTAAAAACAAATCAACTATTGCACTAAAAACACCTTCGCATTATATTCCGCATCTCTTTTCTTTGAAACTCAAGACTCCTTGTAAAAACGGTCCGCTTTGGTCAGAAAGGGGAAGGGAGTTACTAGCAGTGGTCTGTATGTGGTGCGACCTGGCTGCCATGGAAACACAGCGTGCACACAAACTATTTCAGTTTCTCAACCACAGTTTCCTGTAGCGCGACAAAACCATTCCCCCTTCTCAAGGCTCTGGCGCTTTGCTTTCTTTTCTTTTGTTCGGCTCAGTATACACTGCGTATATGTGCTTCTGGCATATATATACGCCCATATAACTCACTGTACGTGTGCGGAATGGGGAGGGGTCAAATATACTCGTGTGGGTGGGGGTAGATAATTATAGATTATAGACTATAGACATGCAAATTATATCTATGCAACTCTTCTAAATCTTCTACATGAGAGCTTCGACTACAAACAGAACACTGTAAAATGTTAGTTAACTAGACTACTAATCTAATGCAGTGTCAAGATAAAGTATTTTGTGGAAAGATTTGGTATTTTTTGATACTAAGATTGCTAAGATTTATTATTTTTTAGAATTCTTAAAATCTCATAACAGCTTTCTTTAACTTTTAACTCTGGATAACTGTAGTTTTAGCTCAGAGTATCAGTACTTTTCACTTATTTTCTTTGCCGGATGTGGTTTTGCTCGACTTGGTTCACAACTTGAAGCGCATGCATCTTGAGCGTATCTGTTTTAGCAGGTCCACCCATTACATTGAACATGACAGAATGAGAAAAGTGACTTGAAATGTCCAGTCTGATAGTTTTCTTGTCGTTCACTTTCAAAAGATTCTATTTTAATTTGACTGCCTTGTCACAGTAATCGCAATGAGGTTCACATAAAACATCAATCTCCTGCAAGTTGATATTTAACCTGCTTGTAAAGTTTGATCTAAACCTCCAAACTGTGCTATATTCACAAACATTGGCTATTGAAACAATGCATATTACATATTTGTAATAATAATGTAATGTAACATAACACACCTTTTTAAACAATAATTAAAGCTCATGTTTAGACTATAAAAGTACAAATAATTCCTTTAAATCTGAAAAATAGCTTCCCCAACAGATGTTTTCAGCATTATTTGGTTTAATCATTTTAGTTACAATATATTATGTTATTTCTAATCAATTTTGGAGTTTAACCTGATTTTCTTCATTCCAAATGGTTGAAAGTGTGTATCAAACACTGCAAGATTTGACTTTGGCACCATTACTCAAAATTTTAAGGCAGTAATTTTACTATTATTACAAGTTATTTTTGGTAGCACTTTAGTAAAGGGACCAGCTATCACTATTAACTAGTTGCTTATTAACATGCATATTATTAACATATTGGCTGTTTATTAGTACTTATAAAGCACATATTCTGCATGAACATATTCTACATCCCTAATCCTACCCAACACTTAAAACTTAACAACTACCTAACAATTAATAAGCAGCACAAAATCCCAAAGACAACAAAAAGAATCGTTGAAAACTATTTAAAAGCCATGAAGCTACAGGAAAACACCATTAAAGTCCTTACTAATTCTTTCCTGGAATATCAGACTTAAACGTTCTGTTTAAATCACTATTTTTACTTCAACACCAAGGTTGCAACACGTATCTACCATCTTTAAAAACACACAAAGATGTGCAGATAGTGTGAGAGCAAGTTAACGGAACATACAGGTCAAAAAATAAAATACAGTAATTAAATTCATTTAACTTTATAGTCTTCTGTCTTTTTTTTTTATAATTGTTAGTTTGTAAAAACTGTGCCTCTTCTTTTCAGTCTCCTAACTAACGAAGACAAAGCAGTCACCCACAACCGAAAATAATGCACACTGGGTCAACGCAATGCGACATAGGCCTAGATATATACCGCAGAGTTCATGTACGTACAGTCTTTGTGACTAAAACAGCTCATTCTTAAGATGCAGACGTGAAATCAACAATCAATCCAATGACAAGACTTGACCTGATATTAATTGTGTTTACATACAACAAATGATGGTAATAATCAAAAATCAGCTGACTGTAAAAATTGAATAATGTAATAAAACCAAGTTTTGCCAAGTAATAAAGTGTAAAGTTGTAGAAACTGGCAAGTTAGGAGTTCTTTTAACGCAAGACGCTAAGGAGGAAATGCTAAAACAATCATTTAATTGTTGCCTCAGTGGTTTCACACACATTGTGCAGTTGATACCTTGAGGAGATCATTTTAACTGATTTCACACTTGAAATTAGTCGGTGTAACCTATTTGAGTCAGGTTGATTTGGTTATATTAAATCATATTTTTGACATTTTTAACTGTATATCTATCTAACATATACCAATGTTCAAAATTAAAACACAAATTTTCATACAGCATCACTCACATAATTAGTAATTGATAGAATAGTTAACTCCTTTTGGGTCATCGTTTACCTTTTTTGTTTGTAGACCACAAAAGAAGATGTTGTATGTTTATGCTGCTGGTTTCCATGAGCTGTCAAGCTCAACAAATAACACAAAACGACAATCAGAGTCCACATTCAGTATATTCCTAGTCTTCTGAAGTCATATGATAGATTTTTGTATGAAGATTTAAGACTTTCGGCCTGTTCCTTGCACAAAGATATTGTATGACTTCAGAGGCCATATGAACTACTTTTATGATACATTTAGTCATTTTTGAGGCTCAAAACCTCACCATTAACTTTTACTGTAGGGAAAAGTGCAGCATGAACATTCTTGTAAATAGCTTCTTTTGTGTTCTACAAATGAAAGAAAGTCGTACAGTTTTGGAACAACATGAAAGTGAGTAAATGATGACAGAATATTAATTTTCAGATGAGCCTTTCCTTTAAATAAACATACGGACAAATAAAGACACTGAAATGTAGATTTCAGGAATATTCCCATGAGCACTGACTCTTAAGGCCTCGATCTCACATTTACGCCCATCTTTCGATGCCTTTCTGCCTTTTCTATGTGATTTGCATGTACAGTGCAGTCACAAGGATTCTCATCCGGTCTCAAGCCACAACACTTTTAAATATAGTGAAAAGACATTTCGATGCAACACGTCTCACGGCACTTCTTCAGCGACTCGCGCAAGCACCATTTTAGCCGGCAAATCTACGAGACGCAGAAACCGGCTCAAAATGGAACGAGGAAGTGGTCAGAGGCCTGTGCAGCGAGGCATCATGTTCAACAGTATCATGCAATGTGACACCCAAAAGACATTCAAATGAATAATATACTGTAATAGAATAGAATAGAATACCTAATATGCACTCAAAATATGTCTTAAGAAAAATCATGTGTGATCACTGATTTTTTTTTTTGTGATTTGATATTGTAACTTGTCATATTGTCATGTGATGATATTATTATTATTCTCTCTCGCTCGCTTTTATATTATTATTATATATATTATATATATTACATTATATTATTAAACATGCAAAAAATGCAAAATTCAGTTGCTGATGCAATAGCCTGATGCAATTTTCCCACAATACTCCAAAGGACTCAACTCAAGAACATCAAAAATGGTTCTTCACAAGAAGAACCTGAGAACCTTTAGTTTCAAGACAG